AAGATTTCCTCCATCCACAGTAGCGCCTCGAGAACAACATGAAATGGCCAACAGGACATCGGGGGGGGGAACGGTGATTTGAGTCCATCAACATGGTGAAACTTTCCTGTGGTTCGGCCACGCGTATGATCCTGCTGGCCTAACTGCAGCTCTGCCTTACAGGGTTGGTGCCGACCGTGGATCATCGACCATCCGCTTCTCCAACATGCCATTTTCTGCATGCGGCACAGGTTACACGCATTTGGAAGCTGTTCTGAAGCATCCCGCACAACAACACAAAAGCAGCACGGGACCTTCCTCGCATCTGGTGTGCCCTGCATCTATTGCGGCTAATGCCGTGAGGTTGAAGCTGACACCAGAAAAGCCCCCGAAGACCCACAGCTCAGATTCATTGTTTACATGAGGTACGGTCTAAATTACCAGTGTAGGCCTTGTACATTGGATTTTGGTATGCGGCCTATATCGTTTTCCAAGTTATGGTGCTGAGCCATTTTTCTCTCTTTGCTAGTAAAAGTTTACTACTGGACCGGCCGTCTCCGGCAGCCGGATGGATTGTCGTTCTCTAGTACAACTTAAGGTCCAGAATGTTTTTTGAAATTTCAACCTATCGTTTTTAGTGAGCGGCCTATCGTTTTCCAACCCGAAATGCTATATCCAAATCTTCGTGTTGGTCCTCTTATGACCCTTGACCTGGATTAAAAAAAGGCGCTTCACATCATAACAACCTAAAGCATAGCAAATCCGCATGCAGCGAAAGTAGTCTAGACGCATGGGTCCTGGACTCAATCTTCAAACACAAGGCTGCCCCGCGTTCTTGTGCCAAAGTACTCTTCCTACCAGCAGTTGCAAGAGGAAGTTAGCAGCCCTTCTTGAGATGGCAAGAACGGTTTTTGTCTTGTGTTTCTGAGGCTCGAGGTACTACTCGGGAAAGCTCAACAGTATGAGCAGCCCGAAACCCACCCAGCCCGCGCGTGATGCTCTCCGGGATCCACACCATTCGCCAGGACACGCCGAAAACTTGCTGCATCGCCTCACCATCTGTCAACCTCAAGGGCTCTCCAGTTTTCGGTGTTGGGGACACATCTCCACAAAAGGCGACTTGTCACCTAACCAACTCCAGGAGCATGCGAACATTCGCCAGCTACGTACAAAAAACATTCTTGCGCAAGCTTAAAAAGTCGTCACACCGCACAGCTTCGAAGACAAAGCGCACAGCTGGGCCGAGCTTTTGCCCAGGTGCCGGAGGCGGTGCGTGTGCCGCCGCGGCGTGGCGACCTCCGGGACGCGGCCCGTGGAGCCGGAGTCCAGGTCCTGCTGCACAGCAATTCTGCCAACGATTCAGAACCCAAATTGCCATGGTCCCAGGAATTTCCTAAACGTTAGCCTCCGTAGCATTCCCCACATCTACCCTTGCCATGTCCCACAAGACAACCCCACTCCACCTGCCCTATATGTAAACACAACACACTTAAACACCATACACACTGAAGCCCAATCAGTAATTTAGTTCCCACATGGCCCTACGCAAGCACCGAACCAAACCGTCTCACAACCTCTTATGCACAACGTTGCACACTGCAAGTGCTGCCCGGTCCAGGTGCCGAAGGGCTGTCGACAAAACCTGATAGCTTAGTCCCGTGAAGCCATCTCGGCTTCGATTTGAGATGGAGATGGGACATGCTAGGGAATTCAAGCAGTACGATCATGTGGCAATACTTGCCTGGTTCTCTGCCCACCTCAACATGCCCAACGGGTCAAGGAAGAAAGAATACATCAAATGAGCTGCCCAAACAACGCATCGCGTGCCCTGAAGCTCTACATTCAGCATTCATTCAGCGTGCAGAGAGCTAACTGACCCCATGTGCCGTTGAGCTAACTGGCTGTGAATCAAAACCCCGTTTTGTCGAGCCCCCTCTCCACCCTTGTTACATACCCCTTTGTCGCGGCCTGCTGTTACATACCTTTGTCGCAAATGATTGGTGCAGGTATGCCCTACNNCAGGAGATTCTGTTACAAACCTATGCCCTATGTCGCGGAATGGCCGCCGAAACCTGTTACAAACCCAATGTTTTTGATTCACAGCCAATTAAGTGCGTGTGGGTCGAAAACCCTTTTTCGCTCCTTTCCCCTGTCCCGGCCTCTTATTTCAACCCCCCCCCGGTCAAGAGCATGGGCTGAACCAACGAAGTCATCAAGCACTTGTCGCGAAGAGAGTTGTCGCCGAACCAACCTTCTGCTACAAGAGCTTAGTTACGGGAGAACCGCCCAAGGCCGGTCACAAATCCAATGTTTCTAGCTCCAAATCTCAACCATTGAAGCAGCTGCAAAGACCTGAAGTGTAAGATCACGTCTCTGCCTCACTGTATGTCACCCAGCTCACCCCACTTCTCGAGATCTTTATTGTAAGGATGGGCAGAAGGTTGATGCTTTGCAGGGCTGAGCCCCTGACATTTCGCAGGCCACGCCACTCACCCATGCCTGTACATGTTGGACTGCTCTTTGAACACCAAGACAAATTTTCCTGACATCCACCACCGGTACGAGTAAAGACTGTTTGGGATGGCCATGAGGGTTACTGGAGGCGCGGCATGACTTCATACTGTGCACTTTGTGTCGTGGACATGTCACAAAGATTCCATGTCCCAAGCTGAAGAAAACTTCGATTTGCTCTCAGCTTACAAATTCCATAAACCCATCAAGGAGCTTCATTGACATAGGCTGATACGAATCCAAGGGAAACTCAATGGGACAAAACGGGAACCTCCAGCGAATACCCCGGAACCCCACACTGACCTTGACTCCAGAGGTCACCAAGCCAAAACTTGCAGTCAATTCATGAGGCTACTGAATCTAAGCTCCGTCCAAAAATGATCATCCACAGCCCAAGCCACCATAGCCGAAGACCGCAGTGCCAGCCTTGGATGCTCCAAGCTCTGGTGCAGAACGTGCTCAGCACTTAGGAGCTATTGGGCATGCAAATCAAAACTTCAGAGGTGCAATTTATGTGTCACTCAACTCCAAACCCCGATTAGCTCAGCTCCGGGTTTAGTGCGATGCCTTTGCCTTGTCACATCACGCACGCATTGGGCTGGATAGGGTGATCGCAGCTGCTTGAGACATGCGTGAAGAACTGTCCCTGCAGATCGAAGGCCTCTCAACTCTCAACTGCTGGATCCAAGACGTCTTTTGCGGGTTTTTATCTAATGCGGCCTCTCAGGCACGGAAAATGTAAGTTGGGAAAAGGCTGACGAAGTCTGAGTTCCACCAGGAAGCGTAGAAGATGTAATAGATGTCCTCAGCTGCTGGCAGACATGCCTTGTAGACTTTTCATGAAGGACGGCTCTCTTGTTGTGATGCATCTCGGCCTGGATAGATTCAGGGGGGTCTTAAGCACGCGCTTGCAGCCTCCTACGTGAGCCTGACATGGTGAACCAAGTCTCGAAGAACGCCGTGAGGATCACGAGGCTCCAAACCAGCGCAAGGCCACCGACGCAGGCGTAGCAGTCACTGGTAATGAGGGTGAAGTACTTGGTTCTACCTATGATCTGGAAGTCAGCTAGTCGCCAAGGAGTGCAGCTTCTCTTGAATGCGAACTGCACTGCCTGCATCGGACATGCAGATGGGAAGGAGGTGCAACCAAGGATCGCAGGTGGCATGCATCTCCGCAGAAAGCGTCTTGGCAGCAAAGACTTGAGCTAGGGCTGCACGCACAACGTTGCTCATGAAGACGTTGGTGCGCTGCTTAAATCCTCCTTTCGTGTAAGATGTGCAAGAACAAAGCTCAGCTAATATCCTCCTGACATTATCAGTAGCCAAGGCTCCAAACTCGAAGTCGGCGATAAGAGGCCTAGCAAAGCTTGGAGCTTGCTTGTGACAGCTACGGGTATAGCTTCCACGTCCTAGGTTGTGGGCCCTGGGGATAGAGATCACGTCTTTCTTCTGGCAGCGTGTCAAAGCTCACGGAAAAGCAGCATACAGTATGGTCTCGGATGTAAGACTGGAGGACAGTCGGACAACTTCCTCACAAGTTATGTTTGCTGCGCCAATCCTCGAAGATTGACCCAAATCTCGACAGGAAAGGGCATTGCCTGCCTCTGGCTTTGGACGTGTGACACTTGTGAGCACCCCACAATGCCTATGCATCGCAACTCTCGGGTCTGCTATGAGGTTGGGCCAGTCTGTCTTGATGCCGGCCGAGGGGCACGATGAAGCGCAACTCAAAGAGGAAGCAGGAGGCAAGCCTGTTGCAAGACCAGAAGAACATGGCTCCACAAAAAAATAGGTGTGGAACAAGAACGTAAGAGCCTCAGACTCACATGCAGCTGGGGCCCTGGATCTAAAAGCATCAACCTCCCTCCCGCTTCACACCCCAAGCGCAAACCCCTGAACCTCATGTACACTCCTGAACGCATTACCGCAAAAGACGAGCAGCATGACCATCCACGCAAACTCTCGAAGGAGTCGGATCTGACGCAAGTGACCGAGTGGCTTTTGGACGATTTGGGTGGAGATTGCAAAGTGAGGGCTTCCAAGGTTTAAGCTTTCCGGTGTGGGAGATACGTTCTCGAGGTACTCGACACTGAAATCCAAGTCCAAATCCCGACAAAATTCTTCGAGACCACCATGCTGCAGACGTGTGATGATCGGTTTTCTCACGTCAGGGCATCTTAATTCAGCAAGAGAGTTTGAGCCGTCATCCCTAAATGTCAGAACCTTCACCAGGGCGCGCATGAAGAACTGTAGGCTCAAGATGCTTCGCTTCCTGCCATTCAAAAGGTTCTTGCAGAATTACATGTGGGTCGCCTCCTCTCGCCCAAGGGATGAGTAGTCCTGTGTGCCAGAGGGATCAGCTGCCTGCGGATGCTTGCTCCAAGAGATGAATGGTGTTACAAGTGAGTTGCAAACTAGCCTGCCGTCATGGGATAAAGCAACACTAACTCGTTGTTGTCAAACCGCACAGCTTCCTGGGTCCAGGATATGGTAGCTCGTGCGGAGGATCACGGATTGCCAGATGCAAGCAAAGTGAAAATACGGAGTAAGGTATGTTTGGTTTTTCTTGCTGAGCCCCAGTCGGGGTCCGGGTTTAGGTGGTTGGGGTCCGGGATGTCTGGGTCCGGATTCAGTCGGGTAGGGAGCTAGCAAACGCTGAAAAAGAGGTAAAGGCACATGAACCCACAATGGCTTGTCATCCCACGCGGCCTCCTCAACTGCTTCTGCGGGCCTTGCCAGATCTCAGGGGCTGTTGGCACTATGAAGGGATGCAAGCTTTTTGGTGTGCCTATCAGTTCGAGGCATCAAATACTCCAGTCTTTGTAATGCAGCAGAGGGAGGCGCTTGAACATCCATCCCGGCCATCCCAGTTTGGGTTCCAACACATCGCGAAACGTAAGGCCTTTTTACATCCCAGATCCGTATGGTGCCTGCAGATAGGAAGTACTATGAAGTACTTCATCATCATCCTCATCATCATCATCATCATTGTCATCATCATCATCATCATTGTCATCACCCATCAGTCATTCCCCCCGCCTCCTCAGCGACGAGCCCGCCACGGAGACACCACTGCGGAGGAGCGGCGCTGAGGCGTTCAATGGTCGCAGTGGCCTGGGTCTCTGATGATCTTTTCCTGAACTTCCCTTTATTGATGAAGGCCCTTTTCACAGCACTGCCTGAATGTCCCTAGAATTCGTGGATGAAGACGGCACACGACCCCTACAAATGCGGCAGAGGGTTTGTTTTGCAAAAGTGTGGCTCGGGTTATTCTTGTTTGCAACGGTGTGGCTCGCTCCTTTCTGGTCTTGGAACGCTTCAGATGCTGTAGATTACAGCATCTGCTAGGCTTGGAACGTCTCAAAAACTGTAAATTGCAGCACTTGCTGGTATTGGAACGCTTCAAATGTTGTAAAGTACAGTGGCGTAATTACGGCATTTGCTTGTCTTGGAACGTTTCAAGTACTGTAAGCACAACGTTTGCGGGTCTTGGAACGTTTCAAATGCTGTAAATTACAGTATGCTGGTCTTGGAACGCTTCACATGCTGTAAATTACAGCATTTGCTGGCCTGGGGGCAGTCAGATGCTGTATATTACAGCATTTGCTGGACCACATGTTGGTCTTGCGACGCTCCACTCCTTCAACTAGTTCCCTGGGAATGGGGTGGATTTTTGGAATTGGGGGCACGGATAATGCCTCGGTGCAAGCATTGTGTTTCCAATTTACTTGCTGGTTGACACGGTGTTTCCAATTTACTTGCTGGTTGACACGGAAAGATGGAACTGAAAAGCAATCACCACATTATTGAAAATTCTACAAGATCTATTCAATTCTGAAGATGCATTCCCGTCTTACAGTAAGAGCA